AAGGGTCTAGGCCCGAAACGTCAGCCTTCCTGGTCCTCTGATGCTGCTTGACCTGCTGTGTTCATCCAGCTTTACACCTTGTTATCTCAGATTCTCCAGCATCTGCAGTTCCTACTACCTCTGTTAATGTGTTAGTGTGTGTTGTGACAGTCTGCGTGATGTGTATATATGTGGAGAATGCAGGTCTGTATGTGCCTTTGTGATCGTGCGTATGTGGGTGTATATGTGAGTATCTGGTTTGCATCTATGACTTTGTGCATGTGAATGCGTGTTTATTTCCGAGTAATTGTAAAGAGTGCGTGTATTGACAATGTTTATATCAAGTGTCAGTATGTGGTAAATATGACAGTGTGTGTACATCACAGTATGGATATATGTGACAGTGTTGTGATGGTGGGTGTATGTAACACTGTGTGTTTGTACAATGTGAGATTTATCAATGTGTGCACATGTGACTGTGTAGGTCTGAACATAAAAATGTATGAATTAGGACCATCCAGCCCGTTAACTCTGCTATGCAATAAGATTATGGCTGATCTGATTGTAGCCTCTATTCCGCTTTCCTGGCAACCCTCAATACTTTTTGACTCCCTTGTTGGATAAGAATTTATCAACCTCCCCGTTAAAAAAGACTCAATGACTACATGTGACAATATGTTTGTCACTGTTTGTTTGCATGGGTTGTTGTTTCAGACCTTCAGCATTCTCAGTTCTTTGTGTTTTTCGCCCCCCCTTTGGAAGTCTTTGTATGTAAGACAGTGTGTGTATATCTGAAGTGCGTGAGTGTGAGAAACTGGGTGATAGTAAGTCGTCCTCAGGTATTGGCGTCGGATCAGAAATGCAGAACCTAAAAGATGGTGGAGACGGATTAATTTGTAGGTTTCAAAAGGAGACTGGATGAATGAATAATTGAACAGGAGGAATTTGCAGGGTCGAGAGGAGTGAGCAGGAAAGTGGAAACCATTGGACAGCTCACTCCAAAAGTCACATGGATGTCTTGGGCCAAATGGCCACCCGTGCTGCAGAAGTTGTTCATTCAGGTATCTGTTTTTAGGTGAACAATATTTGACACATTTTCTCAGTTGCCGGGGAGATTTGCTTATGGCAGACACAAGTTGCATTCTTGCAATGATCCTGCAGTCTCAGATTCCATTGCCGATCATAATACCCTCAAACAGCCCAAAACTACGGCCCTGAGCTGGTCAGCATAAGAGTTTCATTAGTAGCTTTAATAATTGTTGCTTCATTTCAAAGGCGTGCACATGGTCTTAAAACAGAGATAAAGGATCAATAAACTGTTCAACACACATTGTGTATTTTGATAAATGCTCCTTAAAATAAATGGTTTTAAGACATTTCCACCGGCATTTGCAGATTATTCTCCAGTCTATGCACAAGTATCGGCCGCGAATCCATGTGATATTGAAAGAAGCAGATGAACACGTGTCTGTGAACCAAATCCTCCCGCCTAATGGAGTCCACACGTTCGCTTTCCCTGAGACTGAATTCACAACTGTCACAGCTTACCAGAACCAGCAGGTAGGTGCCGGGGTCGGTCACCTGTAAGCAGGAGAAAGAGAGAGAGATAGAGGCTGATAGCTTGGTAGCACAGAAAAGGAGATTGTCAGGTTGTTGAAAGAGAGCATGAGAGATTGGTTGTTGTGTGAGAGCCTTACAGGTGAGAAAGAGAGAGAAATGCTAACAGATTGTTGAGGGAGAGTAAGACTGACAGGTTAGTAATAGAGAAACACTGTTATGTTGTTAAAAGAGAGACTTTCAAGTTTAGTGACAGAGAGAGACTTACGGTACGGAAGTGTGTATGAGAGAGAGAGACTGGCAGGTAAGTGAGGGAGGGAGAGAAGAGATCACAAGGTGTAGAGCCTACTATCTCTGAGAGAAGAGATCGTCAGGTAAGTGAAAGAGAGAGAAAGAGAAAAACTGATAGGTAAATGAACAAGACACTGTCAAGTTGTCGAGAAAGAGAGACTAGCATGTTGTTGGGAGAGAGACTTTCAGGCGGATGTGTATGAGAGAGAGAGATTGGCAGGTTGGTGCGAGAGAAAGAGCGCGATGAACTAAAAAAGTTGGTGTCAGAAAGGCATTGACAGGTCACAGAGATTGTAAGAGAGATTGACAGTTAAGAGATATGGACATACAGATAAGGAGAGAGAATGAGAGATGTTGCAAGTTGGAGAGAATGAAAGAACATCGACAGGGCTGGGGTACTTGCCTTTATTAGCCAAGGAATAGCATGGTACAGCACGGACGTTATACTAGAACTATATACACCTCTGGTTAGGCCACAACTGGAGTACTGTGGGCAGTTCTGGTCACCACATTATAGGAAGGATGTGATTGCACTACAGAGGGTGCAGAAGATATTTACCAAGATGCTGCCTGGACTGGAGGCTCTGCACTATGAGGAAAGATTGGATAGGGTGGTGCTGTTTTCCTCGAAGCAGGCAAGTTTGAGAGTGGGTACGAACTGCCGATGCTGGAGTCTGAGATAACAAGGTGTGGAGCAGGATGAGCACAGCAGGCCAAGCAGCATCAGAGGAGCAGGAAAACTAACGTTTCCGGTCTGGACCCTTCTTCAGAAAAAATGAAGAAGGGTCTAGACCCGAAACGTGAGCTTTCCTGCTCCTCTAATGCTGCCTGGCCTGCTGTGTTCTTCCAGCTCCACACCTTATTATCTAAGTTTGAGAGCGGATCTGATGGAGAGCTATAAGTGTAATGAGCAGCATAGATTGGGTGGATAGGATGACAATTTTTTTTTCAATTCGTAGAGGTGTTAATAATCAGGGACATGGATATAAAGTGAAAGATAGAAGGGAAGTTAAGGAGAAATGTTGTGGGAGACAGGAAATCACAATCTGAAAGGGTGGTTTGGTTGGAAACTCTTGTATCACTTGGCGGTATTTAGATATTCGCTTGCGTTGCCATAACTTGCAGGGCTGTGGGCCAAGGGCTGGAAAAAGTAAATTCTGTAGTAGATTTTTGTTAACTGCTGTGGACGATGGGCGGAACTGCTTCATTTGATGCTGTAAACATGTAGCTACGAGTTTGAGCGGAGACAGGACAGCGGCAACGAGAAGACAGAGAAAGAACAAGCTGCTGATAGGTAGGAAAGAGAGAGAGAGGAACTTTGACAAATTGGAGAGAGGGATGCGGTCATCTTGAAGTGACAGTCTATATCACAAGAATTTCAGAACTGTCACAGGGCGGAAGAAAGCCGTTTGGTTCATCAAGGCCGCACTTTCTCTCCAAACCAGCAATTCACTTACAGCTAGTAGGAACTGCAGATGCTGGAGAATCTGAGATAACAAGGTGTAGAGCTGGATGAACACAGCAGGCCAAGCAGCATCAGAGGAGCAGGAAGATAACAAGGTGCAGGGCTGGATGAACACGGCAGGCCAAGCAGCATCATAGGAGCAGAGAGGCTGACGTTTCGGGCCTCGACCCTTCAGGAAAAAAAAGGCCCGAAACGTCAGCCTTCCTGCTCTTCTGATGCTGCTTGGCCTACTGTGTTCATCCAGCTCTACACCTTGTTAATTCACTTAAAAGCATTCTGTTACTTTCTTCCCCTAACCCTGTGCATTCTGCCTTTTCAAACAATCATCTAAATCCCTTTAGAATGCCTCGGCTGCTTCCACCACACTGCCAGGACATGCATTCCAGACCTGAACCACTTTGCTGAGTGATAACACTTTTCCTCGCGCGTGTTACTGGGGCCTTGATTTAAATCTGCGTCCTGTCTTTTTAGATCAATTCACAACCGGGGACATCTCCGCCCTGTTTACTCTGTCCAGACCTCTCACGATTTTGAATACTTTAGTCAGATCTAGTCTAAACCTTCTCTTCTCCAAGGCTTTTCCAATCTAATTCCTCACGCTGGTAACATTCTCATGATTTTTTTTTCCCTGTTCCTTTTTCAAAACCATTTCGTCCTTCCTGAATTGCGGCGCCCCGTGGAGGCTGACTGTACACATCCAAGGAAGTGTATCGGTACATTCTTGACAGTGCACCTTGTATGTGTTTTATAAATTACTTGTATATGTAAACCATATTGTCTGTATCTTTATGCATCATTAGTATTCGCTGCTTAATATTCCTCAGTAAAGTTTCCCATGTCCAATATAGCTCAATTAACAGATTCTCTAAAATGTTCTATCAATTTCAAATACAAATTTCTATTAGAATCTTTGTAGTTTTATAATGAGATATCTGTATCTGCCGCTTATTCTGATACTAAATCTCTTCCACTCCCTTCCTGCTCGGCTTATATCTCTCCCTTTAATTTCAGTTGCACGTTTGGGCCAACAGTTCTAACCATTAACCCGATCAAGCAGTCCTTATTTATAATTTCGCGTTTTCGTTCTTTTTGTAGATTACAAGGTTGAAAATTGACAGAAATCCTTTCGCCAAAGGTTTTAGGGACCCCGGGAGAAACAGGTATACGCGCAGACCAAAAACAAAACACGCTGGCCCTCGGAACTAGGGGCTCGAACCGTCCGAACCTCTAAGCTAGGAGGCCCGAGTTCAAGTCCCAGCTGCTCAGGTGTAGCTGAGCAGGCTGACTTAAAATGAAATATCACAGATCCAGATATTAAACGTTAATCATTAAATCAAAAAGGCCTGTTACCGAGAAGCATTAAGGTGGGTACTAAGTGACTAACAATAATTAAAAGACTTGGATGTGGGTGTATAAACTAACGTTCGAGGCAATCCTGTGCCGTTGTTTGTGCCACTTACAGACACTAGTAACATGATGACATTTTTGCATTCAGGGTTAATCTAGAACGGGTGATGGACAATTATCCCTGGAGAACTGTAGAGTGCCGACCAGCGCTGGACTTCCAAACTTTCAACATCCAAAAACAAAGTACGTGTCATTTCTAATGCATGCAGCCGTGTCACAACAAGCTATTTGTTCACTAAAGTGCAGGAATACCCAAAATTTGTTAGTTCGCGCTGTTTGCTAATGCCATCCCCCGCGTTGGGAAAACTACTAATCCGCTTGTTTGGAATTGGAATTGATTGGAATTTCTGTCTTTTGTGTGTGTGTGTGTGTGTGTATGTGTTTTCTTTTTGTTTTATTCAGTTGGGTGCTCTGACTCTCGGCTGGGCACCTCCTCGGGTGTGCCCCCGGCTCCTCTGGCCTCAGTGCTCTCTCCAACCTGCTCCTTCCGCATGAGCTCAGCTTCCCTGGGGATGAGCTGCCGAGAGTCCCCGCTGTGCGGCGTGGACGGCCCGCTCTGCTACAAGCTGGGTGCGGCCCCTCCAGCTCTGGCCTGGCCTCTCTATGACAGGCTGAGGGTGAGCAGCAGTAGCGACAGCAACAGCGACCTCCTGGTGGCGCCCAGGTCTCCGCCGCTCATGTTCCGCCTCCCGGCCTTCTCCTCGGCCGGCGTCCTGACCGCGAACGCCGGCAAAGGGTTCAACTGCAGCGGCCGCGACTCCCACCTCGGACCCGGCGTGACCCTCTCGCAGCTCCCGCTGAGGCATCCGGCGGGCGCCGTGAACCAGGAGACCGCGGGCCATCAGGACTTGTACGGTCCCCGCCGCCCTTACACTCTGTACGGGTACACACCCTCCACGCTGACAGCCAGCCCATTGAAAGCGGCGGCTCGGAACACTGCAGCCTCTCCCGGCGATGGGCTCCTGGCGGCCGGGAGGAACTTTAGGGACGCCAAGCTGAGCCAGTGGCCCCAGACCCTGGACCCATAGCCTCAAGTCTGGGCTTCTGTACGGAGCGGCGGAAGATGCGGAGAAAGCAACGCAGGAGAACCCCCTTCGGGGGCAGACAAGAGGGGCTGGGACTCGAGGGTTTTCTTAAAATGAAAATGACCGGAATGCACGCTTAGATAAAACCAGGAATCAAGGTGGAAATTCATTTGCAAGTGACCACGTCTTTGGGGTTTACGTTCGTTCAGCAGTCTTAAAAATAAAATCAGCAATGGATACTGTGTTGACTTAAAAAGAAAATAATCTCGAGAACAGTAAATAGTACACAATTAATTTAAAAAAAACCAACACGTTTCGTTGGATTCTTCGGTTCACACGAATCCTTCTTGGTTTTGTGTTTTTTTTTCCTTTTCTGGTCATAGGTTTTGTTCAGCCTAACAAGTATTATTTCAAATGCATCCCGAAACTTTGGCACTTAACAAAAAGTCCGTTTCTTAAGTGTCAGAGCAGTGTACAGGACGGTTTAAGTGCACTTATTAGCCAATCCGAGTCCGCTCCCCAGTATTTGAGAATAAAAACAAAACTGGAAACACTCAACCGGTCTGGCAGCGTCTGAGCAGAAAGGATCCGTGTCCTGTCAATGACCTCTCCATCTCTCCAGAGGAGCTGACCTGGCCTGTTTTTTTTTCCTTCTTTATTATTTCAGATTTCCAGCATCCGCCACATCTTGCTTTTTTTTTCCATTCCCAAGATTGTTCGTCGGAAAGATTGAAATGCTTTTAGCATAGTCTGCCTATTTCAATCAGATTTGAATCAGGTGCCCATTTACAAAAAAAAAGCAGAAAATTAGCGACTCCCTTAAACTGGCTTGCAATTTCTTGTATGACGCCACCGTAAACTTTAAACCAGTTTATAAAGGCCTTGATCCTCATGTGTTTTGCGACCATTCTATAAGCGTTAATTATTTTTGGTCGTATTTTTAACTGCCTAGATTGCGTGCATGTATACAGCACACGCTATAACACACAGCATTCTCGCATTGAGTTTGTATGGGGCAGGGTCAGCAGCCGTGAAATATGGTGGGATTGTTTCGGGCAGCCTCGCTGTTTACTTCAGTAAAGTGTTGAAGCTGCGTTCAACTTTGCCGTGGCGTTTGAGAGTCGACGCGGCAGTATCTTAAAAAGCAGTGATCGAATCTATATTTATATCTACAAGCGTCTTCAAAATAAAATCTCATGATGGGAGACGGGCACCGCGCTAATCATATAGAGGTACCTTGACCCCTGTGCATCTTTGCACGCTTCTGATATTTCAGTTTAAAGTGACAAGAAGGCACTTTAACAATTAGTCAAATCATGTAGTTTGTAAAGATCCTGTCAATTTGCAAACATCGCCGATTCAAGTCCATTTTTAACTAAATTATTTACAATTAGATTTTGTGACTTTAAAAATGATATATCAAATGAAAGGGAATTGCAGATTGTTAGGAGAGTACATCATTGGATATCAAATGATAGATCTATCGCCATGGTACTGTCCGTATTATGTTGCTTACGACGGTAGACGGAAGATTCAATCTGTCTCATCTAAGTGAGGTATCTTGTGCATCAGAATACACTTACTCTTTCACACCTGTCCAAATCCTTATAATCTCCTTGGCAACAAGCAGGAGAGCTCTCGTAGAAGATTTAACTCTCAATTAGTGTTAGGTTACTTTCAACGAAAATATGAATCATTGATAGAAAATCTTTCCATATACACTGGGGAAAAAAAATATTTGTTTATAATTAATGGGATAGGAAATTCACTTGCTTCTTTTTTTTGTGCTCACATTTCCTTGCATTCAAGTAATATGTACATTAAAATAAAAGCATTGGCTCTAAAGGCCAGTGATTGTAATTGGTTCAGTGTTTTCAGTGATTCTTTGCATCACTTGTAGGTTTCTGTTCATTCGAGAGTGTATGCTTATGCTTACTCACGTTGCTCACTCACATTGAGCAAAGTCACTGGAAGGAATTGCTCCCGTTTGTGCTGAACAAGATATGGAATGTTTTTGATGGAAGACAATTTTCTCTTGCAATTGAAGCATGATATCTGAAAGTTGTGAATTGATTTCTTCGAACCAGGCTGACAAATGATAAAACAATCAAGTTTATGGTTAGTGGATGTTTTTTTTCCGTCTGAAATAGCAATGGCATTTAGGGATGTAACAACAGCCAATGCGTTTTGAAGTAATTAATTGTGCACAAGCCCTTTGGGACACCAGAGACGTGATATGGCATGGAATGAGTTCCTTCTGGCCATTCTTATGATTTTTGGTATTTATTTAAAGGAATACATTAATAAGATATGACTTTGATAAATTGCAAAAATCTCATTTAGTGCATTTGTGTATTGACTATACTTACTTCATAGGTCACAGAGCATCCTGACATTGCAATATACAATAGAAATTATGACTTATAATAAGGAGGAGGAAGTTAAAGTGTATACTGACAGAATCAGATAAAGAGTGGTGAAAGGAGGCTCCTATGGAGCAAGTTGGCCAACATGGGCCATTTGGCAGACAAGATGGAAGAGCAAGTTAGTAGAACAATGGCTCAGAAGGTGGAGATTGGGAAGGTGTGTGACATACTGCCATGATGTTTAGAAAGACAAAGAGGCCTATGAGGGCCTCTCATTGTACAAGCCCCCATAGTTAATCAGGAAAAGTTATTGATATGTTATGGTGACAGATCTCTAGTAGGAGTAGCAACAAATCAAATAGGAGAGGATTAGTTGGGCAAAAGGACCCGTTTCCATGCTGCACTTTGATAAAACATCATTTGTTTTTCTGTCCTCACTAATATGCAATGTTTGAAGATTTTTCACTGTAGAATTTTTGGAGTTGATATCTGAGAATCAATCCTGACCCTGGGGTTTCTTTGAAACATGACTGTTGACCTTGGAATATTTAAAATGGAAAAGAAATGAGACACACCTCAATGTAATTTCAGTGAACTTCAGACCATATTGTCTGTCACTTTAGGCAGATGCAGAAAACAAAAGGAAATCAATGAGCATTAGACTTCTGTTTGGTATGCATGGAACTTTCATCAGAGGGAAGCAACCATGAAATACATCAACTGGTGGGGGAACGACCTGTGGTTAGGTTTAATCAAGGGGAATATAGATGTGAGGCTAGGGATTATTAATGTCAAGTTTTATCAATTTTCGTTGATTAATGCCTAGTTATTTTCTGATTTGGTGAATTAGCCAATATAAATAAAATCCTTCTGTATCTGAAAGAAAAAAACCCTTAACTGTCCATTATTTAAATTCTGGATGTGGAGCGTCATGTACTGGAAATACAGTTGCAACACAACATGAACCTGGCCTTCATGCCGTGCTAGCATCACTGATGCTCATATAGTATAATATAATATCTAATTTAATAACATCACTAACAGCACATATCTGCACGTCTCAGCCTAATTTTTAATGGGAAGATCAATAGATGCTTGGATTTATTTTTAAATAGAATAGCTGATCTAAATCTTTTGTAAAGAAACACTTGAAGAATATGTATATATATATATTAGCAAGTGTGACAGTGATAGCCGCCAACTCACCTAGTGAACATATTGGCAGTCCCCCTGCAAGGAAATGAAGTCAAACCCTGAGTTCATTAGAATATAATGAAGTCAAAGCCTGAGTTATTCCAATATAGTGAAGTCAAAGCCTGAGTTCATCAGCATATAATGAAGTCAAAGCTTGAGTTCATTCGAATGTTTGGTCATATCTCATTAGTGTAATCCTTTAAAATAGGACAACAAATCGTAACACTGACCAGAAAGAATGTGCATTTTGATTTGGTCCATCATATCTCCAATGCCTCAATGGCATAACATTTTTTGAAGTCTTTTTTTTGTGTTCACTCATTTGCCAATTCAAAATAATCTAGGAATTTATCATTGGAACTCGTATTTATTAAAACCACGATTGTAACTATTTCCTTCGGCAAAATCTCCACCAATTCTTGTTTGATCACTGTTATACACAAGAAGATTTTCAATTTACATTTTATATCTAGAGGCTGAGAAAGATTTTGATGGTGAGGCCCATAAAGGTGGTGTGCATGAATCATCAAAATAGTTAGACGGTGCTCTTTAAATTATCATTGCTCATTTGTTACTTTGAGTCACGGCAGCATTGAAAAAACATGATTATTTCTTCAACTTCCGTTGACTTTCTGTTGTCCAATTTTTATTTAATGTTCTTAAACCATAATGATAAGGGCAGGAAAGTAGCAATACTGTTAAATGCCACCTTTTAAACTGACCTCAATAATCCTTGAAATGATTCTTTACTTCATTCATAGCTTAAATTTCTGAGCCTTCCTAACTCCACACAAAATAACACAACTCTTGTCTTCAAAAATGCATAACTGTATAATTTGTGTTCTATAATACTATATTGTACTTGATACTGAAAATTATATATTGAATAAATACAATTTAACATTACAGTACATTAAAACATACCACTGAATTTTCAGAACTGTGTAATGGAGACTATAAAGAAAGACTTTCTTTTACATTGCAGCTTTCATGATCTCAGGATGTCTTCATGCATGTTACAGCCAATGAAATAGTTTTGAATGGTATTCTTGTTCTCAATATTTTCTTAAGTTTAATATGGAAAGCACTGACACACATGAACACTAATAATGATTATACTGGGATCAAGTACATATGAGTATATTACTGAGCATATTATACTCATCAGAAGTAATGAGTTGTTGCTACATATGTATCTGTAAAATAAAGTGCACTATTGTTAAATAAATGTCACCGTTAATTAAAACATCATTCTATGCCTAATCTGGAAACAGCAAAAGAATCCAACATGTGGTCACGTTGCTGAGTCATTGGTAAGATGCTGGCCAATGTTGGACAAACACATAGGGTGGGCAACACAACAGTCAACACTGGGATAATGTCCCAGTGTAGTACCTTTGGGAGTTACACTCATGCTGTCAGTGATCTTTCTCCCTCAAAAATCTTATATTTTTGGCCTTTACATCTTTTTTCTTGCTCTGATCCCTGCTGTTCTTCTGGTGCCAATGTTCCGATTAATGACAAAGAAAAACCACTTTGGTCGCCTTTGTTGGGTGTACTGATGTACGACAGTTGGAGCTGTCCACTCATCAAAAAGAGACCAGCTCACTAAATGTCACAGTCTGGTCCTACAGCACATGGAATTTCAGCTCAGCTCTGATATGTAGGCGATGTCCAGCTGCCACAGACACAGCTGAAGTATGCTTTTCTTCACATTTCCCAGGAGGTAATTATCAAGCCTTTTATCCCTTTAGTAAATCTTGGTAAGGAGGAATTAGCAGAGGATGGAAGAATGATATTTGGCCATTTCAACTAAATTTGCAACCAAAACAGAAGTTGCTGGAAAAGCTTAGCAGGTCTGGCAGCATCTGTGAAGAAAAAAATCAGAGTTAACATTTCAGGTCCAGTGACCCTTTCTCAGAACTGAGGACTAAATTTGTCATTTATTTACGTTATGGCTAATCCATACCTGAAGCCCATTCACCCACAATTCCTGCGCTCACTTGATATTAAAAATCGTTGGATCACACTTTTATTCCTTTCAATTAACTCAGAATTCACACTTTCTTTTCTGGAGAAAATTCCAGATTATTACTATCCTTTCTGTGAAAAGCCTCTTCCTGATTTTACTCCCTCACGGACTCACACAGATTGTGCCTCCATGTTTTGAATCACCCCTCAAGAAAGACATGATTTTGTGTTTTGCACTCTATCAAATCCCACACTTATTTTAAATATCTCAGTTGGATCATCCCTGAACATTCTTTTAAGATTCAAGGAAACTCAAGAAGTGTGCTTGTGATTGAACCCGAGTAGCCCTGTTATCAAGTTGCTGAATCTGTTTCATGGTTCTCACTAATCGTTAGAGGTTTTGCTGCCTTTGGGATCTGAACTAAGGTCCGTCAACAACTGAGCACTGGTTTAGTGGCTTTGGAGCTAAAATTGCAGCTCACCCCTATGTGGCCACCTGTTGGACCTGGGTATTCACTTTGACATAGAGGTTGAGATTGTCTCGAGATTGGGAAGGAAATTGTTGGCTGAAGTCTGACCCCACTGCTCATGAGTGACACAGTCACTTTTCTGGACAGTCTGTATCTTTGCAATCATTGCTTCTCTATTAGCGGAAGATACCTGGGTTGTAATGAAAGGACAAATATTAATACTGTTTCCTGCTACTGACATTACCTGAGTTGTTGAGCAAATTTTTGTCTATAAGATGAAAGAAAAAATGGTCCCTGGCTGTACAGGAGGGTTCTGAAATAGTTGTTGTGATAAGTTTTGAGCATTGGCTGAGGTTGACACAGTAATTCAGTGGTTAACACTGCTCCCTCACAGCACCAGGGGCCCAGGTTCAATTCCAGCCTTGAGTGGAGTTTGCACAATCTCCCTGTGTTAGTGTGGGTTTCCTTTGTGTGCTCTGGTTTCCTCCCACAGTTTAAAGATGTGCAGGTTAGTGGATTGGCCATGCTAAATTGCCCATGATGTGCAGGCTGGATGGATTAACCATGGTAAATATGGGGTTACAGGAATAGGATTGGGGGGTGTTGGTTTTGGAGAAGATGCTTTTCAAAGGGTCAGTGCAGAATCGATGGGCCAAATGTCCTCTTTCCACACTGTTGGGATTCTATGATTCTCTGCATTCTTCTGTCTCTTTCTGCGCACTTGAGTGTAAAGAGTAACATTAAAGTCACCTGATTGCACCCTTGCTGTATTTTTGTTCCTTTCA